CTCATTTTATTTTTTCAATCATCACAATAATGTTTAGATTTTGGATGAGTATTCAGGAAGCAACATGTCATTTATTTTTTTTTAAGAACAAAAAAAAAAGTATGTCTTAAGCACGATGGGCCACCATGCCATGCACACTTAACCTGATTTTTTTTTTAATTTTATCTTTTAATATTTTATTAATTTTAAAGTGATTTTTATTTTTGTTATCTTATAATTAAATTAAAAAATATATATATATGAGCTAGTGAGTCTATGACCCGAGACATGGATTTAATAGGTTAAACCGAGTCAATCTAAATATATTCTCATTTTAGTTTTTTAAAAATAATCATCTTAAGATATTTTTTAAAGGCCAAACAATAATTTTACTAGCTATGTAGGTTGCATTTGGACTCACGCATCATGATATTTTTTTGTCATTTTTTTCTTTGATTTATTTTAATTTATTAAATTGATTGGTTCATGCTTAGATAATTATTAGGCACATAATTTAATTTAAAATTCAGGTCAAATAGGGAATTAAATCAAGAATTTTCAAACTTAACTTGACACAATAATAATACTAAAAAATTTCTCATCACTTGAATTTTTATTTTTTTTATTTTTAAGAAAATCTTACTTCGATCCCAACGTTAGCATGACCAATCTTCTAGTTATTATCTATATTATTCACGCCAATGCCTCGTATTTGTATTTTCATTTCTCGTATAGAAACAAGAAAGGCAATGAAGCTAAGATGATCTACACAATCAAATAAGAAAGAATAAAAAAAAAATCGAAGTTGGATTTAATTTATGACAGATATAGATGCAGCTGCAGTTTCTGCATATTCATAAACTTATTTATTTTAGCCAAAAAAGAGTTCTATCTATCTCTTTTGTGCGAGGAGCAACTCACTTTGACATTTTCTAAGAGAAAGGTAATCAGAGACTTGTTGAGAAAATCCATATTTAAATGGAAAACCTCTCGCGATTAATAATGTATTGAAGTTGGATTTAATTTATGACAGATTTAGATACAGCTGCAGTTTCATGCAATATATAGGTCATGGTTTCTAAGTGATCTTTGCACTAGATTAATATAAATATATTTAAGAATCTAGTTAATGTTGTAAAACTGGTTTCCATCGTACTTATTCAAGGAAACTTGCCTTGAGCTGTCTAGCAACATCTTTAGCAGAGGATCCAGAAACTTCAGTCCATTTTCTTGAGAACCATGCACATGCAAATAACATGAACACTACATAAAAAAGTGCCCGCCTGGGACTTGCTGCCATATCAGGAACTTAACGAAGTACCCATCTAAATACATTTTAAATGCAAAAGTAGATTTATAAAAAGGTCCTAGTTACCTTGATGGTGCAGTGATATAATATGCAAGACCACCAACAGGAATAGAATGGCTGGCCGGATACTGGGATTCACTCCAGCTACCGAGAAGTTCACCAAAACATTCCCACCAAATCTCGTGTACAGTAACTGTAAAATCAAATAAAATAAAATCAGATTCCCTCAAAATAAAATAAAAATAAACAAAGTATACTCTTGAGATCAAACCAGGAAACTCAACCACATCGGTACCTGAGAGAGAATAGATGTTTGATAGGAATGCC